TTGATCGAGAGCTTAGCTTTTTACAATAGTCCAGTGAATAAGAAATGCTCCTGACAAACGATCAATGATAGGATAATCACTCTTTATCCCCCTCCTCATTCTTACCTTCTTTCTTTCAGGAGAACAGGGTTCAGAAGTCAAAAATCTTTATAGACGCCGCTTTTAAATTAAGCAGAAAATAGACATTGACATATTTGTTAATCTCCCCTAAATCATTACCGGGGCTGGCTGCTTTGCTGTACAAGGCGAGAGGGCTCTCAGCGTGCTGCTCAAGGGTCTGTCTGGCTCAGAGCGGCATTTTCGTTTTAGAAAATAAATTTTAGAAGACTTTTTATCTCCCCCTTAAAACAAAGCACACACATCCTCGGCTTTCTCATGTGCATTTAAAATACATGCATTCTCTACCTCTGTCTTTCCTTTGCTTTGATGCTTTTTTGAGATAGGTCCCGAACTGTGATCAGAGGCATTGCTGAAGGGCCAAGCAAGGCAGCCTTTGGGGGATGCTCTCTGATTTTCCTAGTCACCGGGGGCAGAACGTTACAGGTATTTATTTTGGCTTTCTTTCTTCCTTCCTTTAAAATATATTTTTATTGATTTCAGAGAGGAAGGGAGAGAGAGAGAGAGAGAGATAGAAACATCAATGAGAGAGAATCATTGATCGGCTGCCTCCTGCATGCCCCCTCCTGGGGATTGAGCCTGCAACCCAGGCATGTGCCCTGATGCTCTATCCACTGAGCCAAACGAGCTAGGGCTATTTTGGTATTATTTCAAAGCTCTAGAACAGCTTGATTGGGTGGACACGAACTTTGTTAGTCCAGGAGCCAGCCTTCTCTGTCCCTCTACCTTGGTAAAGCCAAGGCCTTGTTTTCAGAATGCTCTGCTCCCAAGCTCATAAGTGAGCCCCCTCTGCGCCCAGTGCTGAGCTGGGCTCTTGACCGCTCTCTAACCCAGTGAACCAAGCTCTCCAGCCGATTCCCCTCAGTGGCAATCACTGCCAGGACACCTGCTTGATGGCCTTCAGTTCCATTTAATGTGGAGGAACCCAAGCCTCAGGGACACCAGCCCCAAGGTACATCCTGACTTTGTGGCTTAAGAGCTGGATGCCACTGGGCAAGTCACTTTTCAGAACCTTGGTTTTCTCATTTGTAAAGTGGACACCCTTTTTTTAAGGTTGGGGTTTTACAAGGATTAGAAATGATGGATGTGAAGCAACGTGGAAAATGCTCTGTAATATTTAGGTATTCAGCCTGGCAGTGGTGGTAACAGCTGACCAGACATAAGTCTGCATTGTGCAGGTGACTTATGAGCTATGTGCTCCTGAAAGCATTGAGTGCAGTGCCTGGCACATAGTCAGTGCTCGGTAAATGGTATGTGTTATATATGGTGCACATATACATAGATGTGCATATCAGCACAATGTTGGTTGGTTACCCAGGAGGATGCTGTAGGTCTGAAACTTTTTATTCAGTCGTACCCATGATCCTGCCACCCCTCTCCCACCCCCAGCAGAGCTAGTGTGTTAGTTCTGCTTTTCACAATTACAGGAGGAGCTACCCTTAAATCTGCAGCCTGACTTATAGAACAGGGCTTACTGAAGACATCGTCTTGGTCTCAGTTGTGGAATGGAACTAAGATGGAACTTTAGCAACACCAGCCAGGAGTCTGCTGTCAGCATTTAGCCTTTTCTGAAATCAAAGGGACCCTGCCACTGAAGCACATGTCTCCTCTGCCCCAAGTAAGCCGCAGAGACAGCATCGCATAGTGTCCAAAAGCTACGGGAGCCTTGCTGCCCGGAGCCCTGGTTGTGCCCTTTCCTGGCTGTGTGGCCTTGGTAAGGTCCATCAGTTCTCAGCACCTCAGTTTCCTCACCTGTACGGTGAGGACAAGAATGCCAACCTCCTGAGGCTGCTGTCAGGATGGTATAAGGCAGTGGTTCTCAACCTTCCTAATGCCGCGACCCTTTAATACAGTTCCTCATGTTGTGGTGACCCCCAGCCATAAAATTATTTTCGTTGCTACTTCATAACTGTAATTTTGCTACTGTTATGAATCGTAATGTAAATATCTGATATGCAGGATGTATTTTCATTGTTACAAATTGAACACAATTAAAGCATAGTGATTAATCACAAAACAATATGTAATTATATATGTGTTTTCTGATGGTCTTAGGCAACCCCTGTGAAAGGGTCGTTCGACCCCCAAAGGGGTCGCGACCCACAGGTTGAGAACCGCTGATATAAGGTAATAAATATAAAGCACTTAGAATAGTGCCTAGTACCCTGTAACTATTAGCTTTGATTATTGATTGTATGCATTGGGGGGCCAGGAACAACATTTTTTTTAGTTGGGCTTTTTTTTTTTTTTTAATTTCCATTTGATATAATTTTACAGAAGATTAGTTATAAAGAAGTACACAGGACTTCTGATGCCTTGTTCTCAGATTCACCTATTCACATCTTGTCCAATTTGCTTCATTTCTGCATGCTTATAGGCATGTGCTCACTCACTCTCTACACACATACACACACACACTCTTTGAGCCATTGGAGAATGATCTGTAGACATCACGCTCCTTTATCTGTAAATCTTTAGTGTGTCTTTCTAAAAACACAGACTTTCCCTCACATAACCACGACATATTTAGCAAAATCAGGAACTATAACAATGACACACCACCACTGTCTAACCCATGATTCCTATTCAAGTTTTGCCAATTTGTTGTCAAGTATTTTTAGTCTACTTTAATCTGGAATAATTCTTTGGCCTTTCCTTGATCTGGACTCTTTTTGAAAAATACAGGCCACATTTCTGTAGCCTGTTCCTCAGTTTGGGCTTGTCTCATATTTCCCCATGGTGAGAGACAGACTGCGTTTTGGGCAGGAATATTGCAGAAGTGGTTTTATGTCCTTCTCCAGCCACCTCTTGGGAGGCTGTTCTTGCCCATGGTAACTTTGATCACGTTTAAGGTTCTGTTCCCTGGGCTAAACCCACTGTAAAATTCTCCCCTTTGTAATTTGTAAGGAGATACTTGAGACTGTAAATGTCCTGTTCCTCATCCAACTTTCACCTGCTGGTTTTCATATCCATTGATCTTTCTTGGCAAAGTCAGTTACTGTGGTGGCTGTAAAATGGTGACCTAACCCCATCACTCCTCTGTGTCTGTTCGTTGTTAGTCTGCTGGAAGGGAGAGCTTTCCCTTCGCTCCCATTTGACCATTTCCATCAGGATGGACTCGGGCTCTTATTTGATTCCATAAATGATCTGTCTGATAATAAACACTTTATCTTTTTTTATAAATTTGCTACTCGAATTGTCCCTGATTTGGCCAATGGGAGCACCCTCATGTCCTTTTAACATGTCCCAGTCATTTTATCAGTGCTTCCTGTTCTTTGTGACAATGTGTTCCAGGCTCATCTTATATTTTCCCTGCCCCATCCCTGGAATCAGCTGTTTCTCCAAGGAGTCGTGGTTCCTTTACTGGAGGAGGAAAAATGTTTGCTTCCCTGTCAGGGTGTAATAACTGAGGCAGTCTCCTCGCAGAAACTTGTAGCCGGCCTCTACCCTCCGTTCTCCAGGCAGATCCAGTTAGAATGAATGGGCCTTCATCTCATCCGACTGCATGGGGCCCAGCGCCATCAAGCTGTGTCCCTGGTTTGGAAAGAAGGCTGCTGAGGTGTCAGGGACCAGAGTGACTAGTCTGTGATTGTCCTCTGTGTGGGAGCCCAAGAAGAGATGGCCTCCAGCTCTGTGCTTTACCGTTTTAAAGTAGTGATGGTGTGTGGATTTTTTTAAGTAGAGTTGGGCATCCAAAAACCTCATAAAAAAATGGAACTAGGTACTATAGTTACATCCCTGTTCTATTAACATGTGTTTGTATATAATACTTACGGCTCACTCAGCAGCCCAAGGCTGTTTATGGCATATGATTCATAGTGGCATAAACAGCCAGGCCTGTTCCCTAACAGACATGCTTGAAAAAGACCTTTTTCTTCTGCGTCCCGTCACCTGTGGCCATGTATTTACTTGTCAGCTTTAGTGACAAAGCCCTTCGGGTTGTCCTCAACACCAGGGACGATCATCTAGAGCTCCTTCAGCCAGACTTATTCCTTCTTACTAGGCAGGCAACCACCATTTCCGTATTGATGGCCAGTTCATTCTGAGAGCAGTTAGGAATAAAAGTACAGCAGCAGCACCTCGACTGGGACACGGTGATGGAGAAGGAATTGCAAACGCTCCTGTCTGTCCAGTTGAGGGTCCGTGTGCTTTAGAAGCTCTGATCCAAATAGGCTTAGTGGGCTGCCTTTCTCTTTCCCCTCTTCCTTCTCTTTTAGCCCAGGAACTAGAGTGTCTTTGTCACTGTGGTCAGGGGTTGGCTCTGTCCGTAGCAGCCCAGGCAGGAGCCAGAGGGCTGGCAAACCCACTGAGCTGGCATGAGACACACAGACCCGGCTCTCACCAGGTTGGATTCTATAAATTTCAGGTTAAGAGCATCCAAACCTGAGATGAGAAGCTGTGGAGGAAAGCAGCCTGTGACTTTAAAAGCCATCTGGGTCCTTATTGAGTTGGGTGGGTGCTGGTGTGAGGAGAGAAGAGCTGTGGTTTGTTCCAGAAGCACAAGGGGTGCTGTCCTATGTTCTATGTTCTGAGAGTCCAGCAGGTCACAGGGCATGGGGTCCTTCGCCAGGAAAGGAGGGACCTGGCTGTCAGTCGGTGAGAGGATGAGACACTCCGGCTTCCGGGTGGTGGTTTGCCCCTGCTCGGGGGAGGCTGGGGACAGGGACTCTCGCGGCTGCTTCCACAGTTGTGACCTCCACAGGGAAAGGAGGACGTGTGTGCTCCCCGTGGCGTCTCTGGGAGCCCTGCTATACCCAGGTGGCGAAGACAACGGGGAGCGGGTCACAGAGGGAGGGGCGGTTTTGAGCTTCCCATGACTGGCTGCTCCTGGACAGAGGTTCCGGTCACCTCAGCGTGTGACGGGCAGGTTACTTTAATTGCAGGCACCCCTGAGCTCAGTGCAGCTGAGCGGAAGGAGCTGGAGAACAAGCTGAAGGAGCGGGAGGAATTCCTGGTTCCCATTTACCACCAGGTAGCCGTGCAGTTTGCTGACTTGCATGACACACCGGGCCGGATGCAGGAGAAGGGTGTTATTAACGTAAGTACAGTGCTTGCCGCTTCTGACTTGTCAGATCTGAAGGCTCACAAGCAGGAGCCGTTGGGGGCAGATTAAAACAGTGTGTGCAGGTCAAACCATTTTCCATTTTTTGGAGAGACTTCTCCCTTTTCCTATATCCACTCTCATCCTAAAACAATTCATGATTTAGGTTGCCTCCTGGACTGCTCAGGAGGCAAGCTCCATTCTACTGGTGGGAAACTGAGTCACGTGGGAGAGCTGCCCGGGTGGTGCTCAGGCTGCAAATTACTGCAGTGTCAGGGTTCCGGCAGCAGCTAACAGACCTGATTTGTGTGCAAGTTGTTGGAGCCATCTGCTCAAACGCAGTTCCTCACTCTGGTTATCTGGGAATTCAGAGCCCCTTCCCCGAAACATCGCAGCCAAGAGTGGGGTTACACGTTAGCCAGGCCCATGGCTGTGCACGGTGCTGTGGTCAGCAGAGTGGTGGGTGCAGGGGGCTACATCCTGAACTGGGACACATCTGCGGAGCAGGGGGCTCACAGCCGGCTCTCAAGTCTCTGAGCGGCCTGCTGGCCAGTGGGTTTTTGTGCCTGGAGTTCCCTCTGGACTGGGGTGACTGGGGTTATTCTTGTCTGTTACAGGACATCCTGGATTGGAAAACATCCCGCACCTTCTTCTACTGGCGGCTGAGGCGCCTCCTGCTGGAGGACCTGGTCAAGAAGAAAATCCACAACGCCAACCCTGAGCTGACTGACGGCCAGGTCCAGGCCATGTTGAGGCGCTGGTTTGTGGAAGTGGAAGGAACAGTGAAGGTAGGTGGGCGCCATCGGAGTAGCCTCATGCTATGCTCCCACCTCACCTGAGGATGCAGGGCTTGTCACCTCAGAACCCAGGCCTCTAAGGGCAGGAGAAGTCGTAGGGCATTTTTTGCAGCTCACTCTGTATCACTCAGCAAACCTTTCTGAATATGTACTAAATACCAGATGCTGCATTAGGCCTTGGGGACATGGCAGTTAAAGAGGCAGATGTTCCTCTCCACCTATGGGAGAGACAGGGGAGTCAGGAGGCCACATACCACAGTGAGACTGAGGTTAAATGTAGCAAACCCAGCACAGCACGGAGCACGACACCAGTCCGCTCTGTGGGGAGCAGGAGGGGGCTCTGGGGAGCCTTCTAGAAGGGATGTAGCAGAGACCTGAGAACAATGTAGAGAGGAACCAGAGGAAAAGGTTGGATTTGGGGATGCAGGAGGAACGTTCCAGGCAGAAATAAGAGTGTCATGCATTGCAGGTATTTCAGGGTGGCTCAGAGATTGGGATCATGTGGGGCCGTGTTGAGGGGTTTGAACTTGGCCCTGGGGGAAGCACTGAGGTATTTTAAGCAGCAGAGACATCATCTGACTTGGTCGTAGGAAGACTGCTCAGGCTGTGTGGAGGGTGGAATTGAAGAAAGCAGGAGCAAGACGCCGAAGAGGTGATGGTGATTGAGGTGGTTGGTGCTGTGGCCACTAGAGATCTGATTTCGAAGTGTGAGCTATGAGTCCTGGGTGTTCTTGGGGTGACTTCACAGAGGGCATGTGCCTTGGAGCAGTGACTGCTGAGATGGGGTGCGTCTGCCCCTGGAATCCCGGGCTGCACAGAGAGCCACAGGAAGACAAAGGAAAAGTTAGACCTTTTATTTCTAAGTACAAGAATTTAACCTTTATTAGTATATGAATTAAAAGTCACATACATCATGTAAACATTTTGTCAGAATATTGGTAGTAGGTGCTGAAAATACCTTTTGCTGAGAGCTAAGCAATCAGAAGCCTGTGTGACTGCTGGGCGGGAGTCCTGGGGGCAGCGGCCTCTGTTGCATGTTCTCAGGAAGGGGCTCCTAGGTTTGCGTCAGTGTAATAGGCACTGAATCAGGGTCCTTCTAAGATGCACCTTTGTGTTATGTCTACCCATGTTTTTACGACTGAAAAGCTTCTCTGGATAAATATTTCAGATGTGCAGCAGGGGAGTGCAGCCTCATGTGACATTTGGTTCAGGTTAAGGTCAGTCTGTGGCATCATAATTGAGTGAGACAATTTTGTCAGTGGCTACTGGCAGCTTCTAGTGGAAGTTGGCATTGAAAGTCATGCAAGTGTAAAATAAGAGGTTGTTCTCCAGTTAAGAGTGGCTGGCTAGGTAAATGGAGTGTGTGCGTGTGGCCAGGAGAGGCCCGTCCCGCCTTCCTACCACATTAGTCACTAATGGACGTGCGCGGCCTCAGTAGGCACAGGGATGAGGGGAAGGAATAGCTTTCCTCCGAGCGTGAAGTGAGTGGAGAGGTCCTCCATTGCTCCTTAGCGTCCTGCTCCCAGGGGACTGCGTCTGGAGGAAGAGGTCATTTCCACTTCTTATGATGGAGAGAACATTGACTGTGGACAGACTCCTGGCTGGAGGAGGCCGCTTCCCTGGCCCCGTTTACAAACAGCATCCTCCTGCGCCTCAGCCCAGGACAGCCAAGGAGAGAGAGGAAGGCCGGTGATCCTGCGAGGTGGCTTTGAAACCTCCTTCTATATTCTGCAGGCTCAGCAGGACCTAGTTGAGTGTGGGGTGGATGATAAAATCTGCAGCGCCCTTGAGAGAAGAAAGTGTAGCAACGTTCAAAGGCCGTGTGCTGCCTCTGAAGGGCTGACATGCAGTCCGCTCAGTGTTTGGGAATGGCTTACCACCGTCACTTTTTGTTGGTCCCTCACACAGTCCTGGATCCTGTGTGCTGTGGCTCTCAAGTGCAGCCTGGCTGAGTCTAGACCCCAGCTTTGCACCAAGAAGTGACTCTAATCCTTGTGGTTACTGGTCGGGAAAGACATTTAGTGGGAGGCCTCTATTAGCCATGCTGTGTTCTTTTTTCCTAGATAATTTGCTTTTTTAATCTTAATCCTAAAAAAGGAGATTCTGGGACTAAAAATTTGAAGACACTGTGATACTACCTAACTGGATGCTGTAATTCTTTTGTTTCCCCCAGAGCAGCGATTTTCAACCTTTTTCATCTCATGACACACCCCAAAAAAATACTAATTACCTACCTCTTTTTGCTCCAAAGTGACTTCTTAAAAATCAGGTGCCTATAACTTGTATGTAAGGATTTCTGGTACCAAGAATTGACCAATAAGGTGCAACTCTATTATATGGCCTATATATTTATGGTTCAGGGCAGGGCATTCACACAGGATGGCTGTTATTTTTTTTTTTTTTACAATCTAAGGGAAAAGAGGTCAGTGCCCCTGACTAAATAGTCAGGTACTGCATGTTTTAAAAATTCTTGTGGCTCACCAGTTGAAAATCACTGCCTTAGAGGAATCCGCTACCGTGAGTTACGGGATTCTGTCTGAGTCCCTGGGACAGTCCCATCATAGGAAATAGGGTATGGTTCATAGTTTTCCTGCAGCAGAAGGGAAGCATCACTGCAGCTCCCTGAAAGGTAGGTTTCAATCAAACAGGGCACACGTTTGTTTCATGGGCACGCTTTCTCTCTTAATTTTAGATCCACAGTTTGAGGGTTTTCAAACCGACTGATTTTTCCCTCCCCCCAACCCCCCCGCCCCCCCCCCCCCCTAGTAAAAATTGAGATTGGAACTCTGCATGGAGCAATTCTAATGGGTCCTAAAACATGAGGTTAGAATCTCAAAGTTTTTGGATCCCAGCTTTGCCACTTACTGGTGCAGACATACTGTTTAAGCCTCTGTTTCCTCATGTGTAAGACAGGGTTCCATGAGACTTAAATAACATAAGTAAAGTGTGGAACACAATGACTGGCATTCAGTAGACAGTATATGCCCGTTTCTTTCTCTCTCAGCACAGCTTGTTAGATGGTAAGAAAATAAAGTAACATAGACTAAGAGTTAAAGATGTACAACTTATTAACACAGTAAGCGCCAGCCTGTTTTGTCTTCGGGACAGAAAGTATAGTGTCAGTCACCGGTGACTGACTGGGCGCTTAAGGTGTTAATGATCTTGGCAGGAGGGTGGTGGTTCAAGAGCATAGTAGATTATCAGTAACTGACCTTTGTTTTGGCTTGCTCTAACTTATCCTCAACCCAAGATGCCAGAGTACCTCCTTACTCTCCAGATATCTACCCATTCACTCTTATTCTGGATTTCCCCCATCCCCAAGGCCTCGCCACAAGTTACCCATGGTCTATGTATCACACTTCTGATTTAGGGCCAGGGAGGCAGGAGGTGAGGCAGAACCTGAGACTGGAGTGGCTCTCAGGAGACCCCAGCCTACATGGCTGTTGTACTCCAAAGCCTCTGGAAAAAATCACATTGTTGGAGGTGTCTCCAGGCTGCTCACGGGTGAGTTATCTGTCGGGCATGGTCATCAGGGCTCACATCCACCAGGCTGTGCCCGGGTCGCTCCCTGGCCCTGCTGTACCACTGAGTAAAGAGGACTTCACAGCTATTAGGTTAGAAATGAAACTTTTCAAACAGGTCATTTAGATTTTGTAAGATAGACTAATTACTACACACAATTAGTGAGGCTGAGTAGTGCTAGAGATACTTATCCACTGATGCAGAGAGTGATAAAGTGCCTACTGAACATTGTTGTAAGACCACTGTAGGGATGTTTAATAATCAATATTTTATTGGTTTTAAAATCTTCTGGTTGGGATGAGTGTCAGCCCTGTTGTGAGGTTAACCGCCCAGCATTTCACACTTGTTTAAAGTCAACACCTGGGCACTAGGAATAATGAGCCACATTTTCATAATTTTCAGAGGGAAATGATAATGTCTTTTTTTTTTTTTTCTGGGACTAGGGTTGGCACACTGTTCTGAGAGGGCAGACACTCTAGACTCCCTGCCCCAGCAGGAGGGACCCTTGCTTTTCCCCAGGGAAGGAAGTTAGCTCACAACATCCTCCCAAGTCTGTGCTTAAGTTTTTTTATTCTTACTAAAAGTGCAGCTGAATCAGATCTGCGACCCCTCTGCCTCTGTGTACCAGCGCCGCGAGCTGAACTTAAGTGGGGTTGGCCTGTTGGCTGTCATCCACTTGTTCTACTGTAAACAGATCATTCACAGAAGGACGTTTGCAAAGGGGAGACTTCAGAGCAACAGTTCTAACACTTGGGATGTGTTGCCCTTGTCTGTCGAGGAATGTGTTTTTGTTTAAACACCGAGCACATTCTGTGGCTGCACGAGGGGAAGACAGAGGGGTTTTCTCAAGAGGGTAGCTGGCTCTTCAGTGTGGTGTCTGAGCATCGTTAGAAGCAGGCATCTCGTTAGCTAATACATTACACCAATCAAGGAGCATTATCTTAAGCCACAATTAATCTGCTCCCTGGCATATGTTGATAGGAAAGCATCATGCTGTTTCTTAATTAAAAGCAAACGGATTAAAAATGATTAATAAGAGTATTAAATATTCTCCTAAATGAAAGGCTTTGGGGTTCTTGGCTAAACCTAGTTGTTGTTTTTTCCATACAGAAATCCAAGCAGTAGTCATTGTTTTAGTTTTTCCTACCTCCAGAGCTCCATAAGTGGGGGCACGTTGTGAGGGCCTCGAGCCATGGAGCAAAGTCTAAATTTCCAGCGATGGAGATGTCAGAGTTCAGGGGTGCAGGAGTTAGGACTGTGTCCGGGGAACGCGTCAACACTTCCTTTCCTCCCAAACAAAATGCTTTCCTGCCCCTTAGGCTCCAAGGTGTGTCAGCCTCTATTTCCTCATGTGTAAGATGAGGGGGAAGGTTCGCTCAGGTCGCACCATCGTGGCCACACCACCCTGACTAGGAGACCTGATCTTTCTATCAGTGATTACAGAGATGGGCGAAGAGCTAGAAAAGGCACATTGCTGATCCTGGGGCTCCCAGGCCTTCAGCTGTGAAGGACTCTTAGAATTGTTGGAAATGTGGAGTCAATTACACGACATATAATAAATAACCAGTCACATCTGACTTGCCAGCTAAGTTAGAGATGGGTAGTGAGTCTGAAAAGAAACCATTATTTTTAAAGGCACAAAATAGGAAGTTAGAAATCAGGGCTGGTTCTCCCTGCACGTGGCCTCCTGAATGTGTGATGCAGGCACAACTGTGGTAGACCCCAGTTTCCTGAGCCTGAGTCCCTAATGCACCCACCTATTAAATTACAGCACCAAACTCATTGTCATTCTGACTTTGACTTCGTTAGTGATAACAGAGAAGGATAGCGCACCTTTAAATGACGAGCTTTGTGTTTAATTACCCAAACAAAATGACATAAATATGAATGAGCCCTAATGGTGGTACTTGGTTTTCCGGAAACCATTAACAAAACGATTCCTAAATGATTTGTAAAGAAAATGAGAGGAGAAGAGCAGGCTATTAGGTTTCTAACACACTCCTGAATTATTATGTAGTCAACTACCTAGGAAATACTCAGCTAAATGATCTTGAAAAAAAAAAGAAGGGTTTGTTGGGTCTCAGGGTTACAGACGTCTTGACCATTTGAAATACGCTCATCGAGAGTAAAAGGGATTTATGACCTGGTGCCTGTCCCCTTGCGGCAGGTCCTTCCTCCGTGCCAGACGCCACAACCGGGCAGCAGCTCCTGGGCCTCAGTTCCTCAGAAAGGACACCTGTCATTTTCAACCACAAACAGCCAGCCTTTCCCACTCAATCGGCACTTTACTAAAAACTGGGCTTCTGACTAGTCTCCTCAGCCTTTGTGGACTCGGTAGAGACCTAGAGTGACAGGCCAGCGCCAGAATGTGGGCACTGATGCCCCTAGAGCAGTGGTTCTCAACCTTCCTAATGCCGCGACCCTTTAATACAGTTCCTCATGTTGTGGTGACCCCCAACCATGAAATTATTTTCGTTGCTACTTCATAACTAATTTTGCTGCTGTTATGAATCGTAATGTAAATATCTGATATGCAGGATGTATTTAGGCGACCCCTGTGAAAGGGTCATTCGACCCCCAAAGGGGTCGCGACCCACAGGTTGAGAACCACTGCCGTAGAGGGACCCTGTGGATGCTCCCAATCTCCATCCGTGTCCAGAGAAGGAAGGGGAGGTGAGGACAGCGCCTGTCTTGAGGCCTGGTGTCTCCTTATTCTACAATGTCAACAGTGACAGAGAATCCATTCTCCAAGTATCGAACAATTAGGGGGTCCGGCCTGGCCCTGGTGTTTGACCGGGTTCATCTGTTTACAGGCCTACATTTGGGACAACAACAAGGACCTGGTCGAGTGGCTGGAGAAACAGCTGACAGAGGAGGACGGCGTTCGCTCAGTAATAGAGGAAAACATCAAATACATCAACAGAGACTATGTCCTCAAGCAGATCCGCAGGTGAGCCGCAGTGGGGGGCTCCTCTAGAAGTGGGGCTCACCTCTTGGAATAAAAGATTTAAGAACAAATCTGGAGATGGTGACGCCTACAATCTTTGTGGCCTCTCTCTGCCAGAGACCGCTGTAGTGACCCACAGATAAGACAGCCCTCTAGCACGGTCCCTCCTCAGCTAGCGGCAGACTTAGTTCATTGTGCCCAGAGGCAGGTGCTCCGACTGGGTGAACGATTCTGGGAGGAAAGTGATGGCACGCAGTTTCCTGGGGAGCCGCCGCCTCTCTCCTCCTGCAGGCTTCTCCATCGCAGGGGGTAGAGGGTAGAGACTGCGGGAACATCTTTTAAAGTGTTTTATTTGGAAGCATTTTACTTACAGAAAAGTTTAAAACTAATAACAGTGCAAAGAACAAATCTCATTTTACCCCATTGGCTGTATCGCTGGTGAGGGTGCCTGCTCTCCTGTCTAATCCATACGTAGACCTGTCTAATCCATACGTAGAGCTGCTCGTTCTCGGCTGTTCCCTGACTAGACTCGGATCGTATGTGCTCAGCCAGAACAGCACGTATGTGGGGAGGTGGCCCTCACAGGGCCCACATCTGGAGCCGCATGATGCCATCTGCCCCTCGTGTTTGTTTCGACCACCCGGTCATGATGTTACTCAGTTTCTCCGCTTTTTATCACTGATTTTCCCCTTGTACCTAGTGAGCAGTCTGTGGGGAGACACTTCAAGGCTATGCAAACGTCCTGTACTCATCAGAAATTTCACCTGGATTTAGCCTCCGTGGATGCTTCTTGCTTGATCCAGTCTTTACTGTGAGGTTTCAAAGTAACTTTCCAACTCCATCAGGACCTCCTCAATCCCAGCCACCACTCCAATTCTGCTACAAGCAGAAGTCCTCTCTCCTCCTCATTCATTATATATTCACTATTGGTTACACGAATGGATTTCTATTTTTCAGTAGTTTTTAATTCGTTCTTACTTTGATGTCCCAGATTTAGCCAGTGGGCAGACCTTCGTGCTAACTCCAGGCCAGGCCCCATTGGTGTTGGTTTGTTGAAGTGCTTCCTTACCGTTTGCCATGGTGAAATGTTTCCGGTTTATCTCGCTACCTCCCTTGCTGCTGGGGACATTTTCCATGTAGGAAACGGCAGGTGCTGACGAGCGTCAGCAGTGAGCTCTGCTAGCTCATTTGCGGGTGGTTTGTCACTGCCCTGATCTAGACGCTGCTGCCTCTCTCTTCTTCACCTCCCAAATCTTCCTCTCCAGCTTGGTCCAGGCCAATCCAGAGGTCGCCATGGATTCCATTGTCCACATGACCCAGCACATCTCACCCACTCAGCGAGCAGAAGTCGTCCGGATCCTGTCCACGATGGACTCCCCTTCGACGTAGAGAGCTTCCGCCCTCGCCCTGCCTCCAGAGAAAAGGGCTAGACTAGAGCTGCCTTTTACTACGGAAACCACTGTAACGAGAAGGCACGGGAGACCCAGCACTGGAATCAAACTGGCGTTTTGCTTCCCCTCGAATGTTTCAGGTTCTGTGTGGCACACGGGGACACAGGGTCACAGAGCCATGCTCCAGCCCCCGTCACACTGTCCCGTTCAGTATTTATTACCCTGCACACACCCAAGAAGGCAGTGAAGGGTACACACGTACCATGAGGTCTTCCTACACAGAAGCAGGGCTGCCCCTTGGTCTCAGCCCCGGGAGCCTGCACCCCAGGTAGCAGGGGAGGGCTGGGGCGAGGAAGAAGCCTCACGTCCGTTATTTCTTTACCCCCACGTTCAGCCCAGCACACACTAGCACTGAAGAGGAATCATTCCAGCCTCATCACACCAAGGTCCTGTTTGTGAAGGAAAATAGAGCATGAAATCGGCAAGCTCCATGGGAACTCAAAGATGAAGGCAAACCATGATCCAAAGAGCAGAGAAAGAAAACAGACCTAGTCACTGTTGTGGATTAGAGGCCTCAACGTCGAGGTCAGTTCTCTTAGAGCAAATGGAGAGATGGGGACCTACCACTCCCTGCAGGTCACTGCCCAACAGGCCAGTGCGGGGAAGGCTGCCCTCTGTCACTCATGGGAAGTAGTCTCTCATTTTAGGACTTGGGAGGTTGTCACTGTTAAGCCTGGAGCGATGGTAGTCACAGAGGTTAGTAGTGCCTACAGAGTCGCTGTCTCCATTTCCAGGGCAACAGGTCTCCCCACTGCTGCTGACAGGACCCCTGCGGACACCTATGCTCTCGGCACCAGGATCCCAGAATCCACATGACCTTGAGATTACCTACGACTCCCTCTTGGTGCTGCTGTCTTCCAGGCTCACGGGGCCCTACGCGCAAAGGCTCCTCACGGGTGGTGGAGAACGCTTGTTTTTGTCAACAACCAGTTTATTCAAGGAGAGAGCTTACTGATTCTCCCGTTGGTATTCCTAAAGCAAGAGTGGCAGGTGATCAGGCTGGTGTAGCATCCGTTCCTACAGAGCAGCTAATTGCATTTGTCACTGGTGACCAAGGAGGAAATCACTGGGACGTCTTAGAAGCACTGATATGAATACTTGTGTACAACCTCCAGATTTGAGCCTTAACCCTGTAGTTCACAAGAAAGAGCTCCACTTCCCCTCCTTTGGGAACAGTTTATGCAGATGGAACTGTGTGGCTGGGTCTGTCACCACCCTCCCTCTCCCCCCAGGAGCACGGGGCCTCAGCCAGGCTGCCCTGGTACAGGTACAGTGTTTGGCACTACCAGAGAAGGGCGGGAAAAGGTAGGGAATAACCCTCAGTCCAGGAGGCAGCATCCACTGTTGCTAGTATCTGCTAACCCAGTAAGAATTGACTTCATCTCTGACCATATTATTCCTCTCCACTTTCCTGCAATAAATACAGTGATATGCACTGACAGCTGGTGTGAAGCCTGCTCTCCACGGGCCTGTGCTCGCCCGGCATTTCTTCAGAGGCAGAGTGGGTTACTCTCATGTGCCTCTCCCCTCTGCAAATTATGACACATTAAACGAATCCATTTCCTCTCTAGACCCCTGTAATGCCTACTGCTCCATCTCCAGAGCACCTCACTTTAGGTCTTACCCTGGACAGGGATTTTTCATATGGAGAAGACAGAAGAGCCACAGAGTGTGAGCCAGCTGACATCCCACAGCCCCCTGCACAAGCAAGGTCGCTGAGGCAGGCGGGTAGCAAAGTACGGACCAGGACGTGCTGGACTGAGACTGCCTCATGGTCCCACCACCTCGTTCACAGAGCAGCCTTCACTTGTCTCATTGGAAGTTCGATGGACACACTCTGATGAGCAAGGAGCTTCAGTCAAATCTTTTCACATTTTGTGGAAATAAACCTCCAATTTGTAGAAGAGTCACTGTTTGTCATTTCAGCCCATACCCCGCCTCTCAATCTTGCTCCACACAGAGCAGGGGAGCCTCCCGCCCCGGTGGCTGAGCCCCGCTCGTCATGCCGAAAGACCTCGAGGCAGGAAACCCGTGAGTGTGTGCCTTCAGCCCTCTGCCTCGGTTCCTCTCTCTGATTCCATGCGGTTGAAGTGAGAACAGACACCAAACCCTAAACTTGTGCAAAAACAGGTAGAGGTCACAAGAGAGCAGGAGGGGAAGCACTGACCTCTGCCGACTGTTAAACTCGGTGCTGTGTCTGTGTCCTTGGGACGTGTAACTAAGCAAAGGGTGGCTTTCTCTAAGTGACATAAATGTTACACCCACATATCACCGGGTGGAGTCGCCCTAAGCGAGGTGCCTAGAAATGGGAGGAAGAAGGGAGGTTCAGGGTCTGGGAGAATCTGCTTCTCCGAGCCTTCAGCTGCTGCACTCCATGGGCAGGCAGCCCTGGTCAGCATCGAGGCCTCGGACTTCCCTCCTTCTGTTGGGGAGTGATATTTCCTTCAGTCTTTTCAATAAAAGAAAAATTTTAATTTCCATTGATACTACTTTGGGGTAATAAGATTGAACAGTGAGGGTTGTGTAATCTAATCATGGATCCACCTGGATTTCCCCAACTGGGAAACGAACACAGTGACAAACGCAAGTGCCAAATGATGTCACAGGGAGGACCCTTCCTGCACTTTTTCTGATATGCAAGGCTCAGTGCCAGGCTGTGGTGAGAGCCCTGGAGGGGCACTGGGCTGGGAGGATGCCTTCCCTTAAACGCTGGCTCCTCCTCTGGGTAAAACCTGGGCTGCCCTGGTCCATGGTGAGGCCGTGTGTGTGGTGCACGAGGGCTGAAGCCTGCAGGCAGGCTTCCAGTTGGGAGAGAAGTCAGGGTGTCCCAATTCAGGGCACCAACATTTGCAAAGTTATTCAAGAGACCCTAGATAGAAGCACAGCATCATTTAGGGGGAGGATGGATGATGGAACCTGACAAAGCAAGTAGGCAGCATTGTGAAGATCTTTAAGTGCTGAGCCAAAGAAGGGGTATGTCCTGGAGAGAGTGGGACACCTTTGATGGTTTGGGGACATGGGAAGACTGGGTATAAAGATTTAGAAAAAAGAAAAGATTTAGAAAGCAGCCTAATTGATGAAAGGAGCACAGCCATAGGTGCCAAGCTCAGCTCCAGGAGCATACGTCCCCCAGCTGGAGGGGTCACCCAGATAGTGAGCCCAGGCCACCCAAGAGGCACAGGTACAATGGGTGACTCTCCACTATTTTCAATACTCCAGAAACCTGCGTGTGCCTCAGGCAGCACAGGCTCCCCATGCCGGTTTGTCTTTCCGATGACTAAGTGTTTTAACAACCCAGGAAGTAGTCCTGGCTATTGAATGCCGGCCAGAGCTCCAGTGGGCAGTTCATAATAAAGAATGGGAATGGGACATCGTCATGAATGCAGAATGTGGGCAAGCAAAACCTTCCACAACATCAGTGGGTGGAAGGGCAGAATGATAATGGAACCTCAGCTCTGAGGGGACTTGGGCCCACCCAGAGGGCTCAGCCCCTTAGCAACTAGAAGGAAATGAGAGAGACGAGCTCAGAGGGGGTTGAATGATGAGCCTAATCCCAACATTGTGATTCTGTGACTTGCCTTCTGGAGTTAGAGTTAGCAGGAAGGATTGGGGGTGAGGAGAGACAGACAACTAAAGACATCCAGACCCTCAATTAAGAAAAAGCTGGCAGCACTCTTGGCCGTACTAACAGATTCTTTGATAGCCACTTAGAAGAACTTGGACTCTGGAATAAGCCTGAACTGAGTTCAAATATCCTCACTCCTGCCCTTAGGCAATTTCCTGATCCTAAATCTGTGAAATGTGGATAGCAATAAGGACCTCATTGGGGCTTTTGAACAATTACCTAAATTAGTTCATGTGAACCAATTGGTGGGTATTAGTAACAAATTTTCAAATGTCAGATTTCTCCATACCCTGCCCCTTCCTTATGCTCACAAGAGAGGACACCTGTTATCACTCAACCTTCCTCAGAGGGCATTTTCAGAGAACCATCCCCTTATGAAAGCAGGTCTAGGGACTGTCTCTAGGCGTTGAGCCACATGGGCACTATGCGGAAGTACCAATGAGGAGTGCTTTAGTCTGAATATTTGTGCCCCCCACCCAAAAAAATTGGTACGTTGAAATCCTAACTTCAGCAAGTGATGGTATTAAAAGGTGGGGGCTTTGGAAGATGCTTAAGTCCTGAGGGTGGAGCCCTCGTGAATAGGATTAGTGCCTTATAAAAAAAGACCCTGAGAGATCCTTTTCCATCATGTGAGGATACAAGTCTAGGACCTTCACCTGATCATGCTGGCACCTGGATCTCAGACTTGCAGCCTCCAGAACTATAAGAAATAAATGTTTGTTGTTATAAACTACCCAGTCTGTGGTGTTTTGTTATGGCAGCCCAAGTGGACTAAGACAAAAACTTGGGCCAGGAGTGGGTGCTGCTGTAACTAACCTAAAAATGTGGCAGCAGCTGGGTATAGAGGGAATGTGCCTCAACATAACAAAGGCCATATATGACAAGTCCATAGCTAACATCATACTCAACCGCTGGAAGATGAGGAACAAGACAAGGAAGCTCCTTTATTCAACATACTACTGGAAGTCCTCACCAGACCAATCAGGCAAGAAAAAGAAATAAAAGGCATCCAAATTGGAAAGGAAGTAAGACATTTGTAGATAGCATGATATACATGAAAAACCCTAAAGACTTCACCAAGGAACTTAGAACTAATGAATGAATTTAGTAAAGTTTTAGGATACAAAATTAATATAGAAAAGTCAGTTGCATTTATATACACTACTAATGAACTATCAGAAAGAAATTAAGAAAACAAACCCATTTATAATTAGATTAAATAGAATAAAATACCTAGGAATATATTTGACCAAGGAGGTCAAAGATCTGTACACTGAAAATTATAAGATGAAAGAAACTGAAGGCACAAGTAAATGGAAAGATACTTGATGCTCATGGGTTGGAAGAATTAATACTGTTAACATGTCCATACTATTCAAAGCAATCTACAGATTCAATGCAATCTGTATAAAAATTCCATTTTTCACAGAAAGAAAACTATCCTAAAATTAGTATAGAACCACAGAGGACCCTGAATCGCCAAAGCAATCTTGAAAAAGAACAAGCTGGAGGCATCACACTTACTAATTTCAAACTATATCACAAAGCTGTAGTCATCGAAACAGTATGGTATTGGCATAAAAAACAGATGCAAAGATCAATGGAACATAATAGCCCAAAAATAACCCCTTTCATATATGGACAATTAATTTACAACTAAGGAGCCAAGAATATACAATGGGGAAAGGATGGTCTCTCCAATAAATGGTGCTGGGAAAACTGGACAGCCATATGCAATAAAATGAAACTAGACGTATATCTTACATCATACACAAAAATTCGCTCAAGATGGATTCAAAACTTGAACCTGGAAGTAAGACCTGAAACCATAAAACTCCTAGAAGAAAACATAGGGGCTCAATCAGTCTTGGCAATGATTTTTTGGATTTGACCCCAAAAGCAGAAATAAACAAGTGGGACTACATCAAACTAAAAAGCTTCTGCACAGCAAAGGAAGCAATCAATAAAATGAACAAGAAGGCAGCCTACAGAATGGGAGGAAGTATTTGCAAGTAATATCTTTGATAAAGGGTTAATAGCCAATATATAAAGAACTCATAACCATAGCAAAACAACAACAAACCATGATCTGATTAAAAAAAAAAAAGAATTGAATAGACATTTTCCCAAAGATAACAAATGGCCATAAAAAGGTAAAGGTATATGAATAGATGCTCAACATCACTAATTATCAGGGAAATTCATCAAAAGGACAGCCATTCTAACAGGGTAAGTGTTGGTGAAGACATGGAGAAAGGGAAACCCTTGTGCACTGTTGGTGGGAATGTAAATTGGTGCAGCCACTATGGAAAACAGTATGGAGGTTCCTCAAAAACTTTAAAAAAGTACTACCATATGGCCTAACAATCCCACTTCCAGGTAGATCTATGTAAAGGAAATGAAAACAGAATATCAAAGAGATACCTGCATTCCCATGTTCATTGCAGCATTATTCACAAAAGCCAAGATAAGAAAACAACCCGTGTCCATAAACAGATGAGTGGATTAAGAAGATGCGGTATATGTACACAAATGGAATATTTCTCACCATGCGAAACAGGAAATCCTGCTATTTGTGACAACATAGATGGACTTTGAGGGCATTATGCTATGTGAAATGAGCCAGAGAAAGACAAGTACTGTATGCATCTACTCATGTGGAATCTTAAAATAAAAAAGTCATATCCATTGAAACAGAGTAGAAAAGTGGTTGCCAGAGGCTGGAGGTGGGGTGTGGAAGAAGTAAGGAGAGGTTGGTAAAAGAATACAAACTTTCAACTATAAGATGAATAAGATCTGAGGGTTTAATGTACATCATGGTAACTATCGTTGATAGCACTGTGATATTTAATTGAAATTTGCCCAGAGGATAGAAAAATGTTCTCACCACAAAGAAATAAAAAGATGACTATGTGAGGTGATGGATGTGCAAGTCACCATGATGTATACTTTATCTTAAAGTATATGTCATTTATACCTCAATTAAGCTAAATTGATACCAGGAGTGAGGAGCTGTTATAACCCACAAATGTGGAAGCAGCTTTGGGCAGAGGTAATGGGCAGAGGCTGAATGAGTTTGGAGGTCCATGCTAGAAAAAGGCAACATGGCCACAAACAGACCTTTAAAGGCGATTTGGGTGAGGGCTCGGGAGAGCGGTTGTGAACAGAAGGTTGGTAGAAACATGGCCAGTGAAGCCCATTCCGAAGAGGTTTCAGATGGAAATGAGGATGTGTGGTTGGAAACTGAGAGAGAGTGGCAAAGAACTTGGCTGGATTGTGTTCATCTCCTAGAGTTTTGTGGAAGGTAGCACTTGTGAGCAATGAAATTAGATATTGGCTGAAGCTATTTCTTTGTTTGTTTGTTGAAAGTGTTACTATGTCTCCTTTTTCCCCATCGACCCCTCCCCGGCCACTCCCACCCCCCAGGACAAGTCCCCACTGCCCCAGTGACCGTGTCCATTGGTCGAAGCTATTTCTAATCAAAGAATTGAAGGTGCTGCTTGGTGTCTCTTGACTGCTTATAGTAAAATGTGAGAAGAGAGAAATGATTTAAAGACAGAATTGTTGAAAGGGAAGCAGACATTGGAAAATTCTCAGTCTGCCCATAGTGCAAACGAGAAAGCGTGTTCAGAAGAGAACCCTAAGGATGTGGCCAAGCAACCCTTTGATCAGGAAATTGGTATGGGTGTGAACCGTGGACTTCATCAGCTACAACAGCGGGAAAATAGCCTATTTGAACTCAAGGGGAAGAAGACGGGAAGGAATGAAGGAAGTGGACTTCTTAGATTTTACAGGATGGGACCATAGAGCTATTCAGCTTCTAATTTTCTCCATTCTTCAAGACAAGGGAAGAGG